TCAATACTAATGGCAATGAGCATGCTGAAGCCACAAAGGTAAGCAAAGTTTGACACAACAGTAGTTAGCAGAGGAGTATCAATGGTATTGGAGTAGAAGATGGCCAAGATAATATGAAGTCAATATACAATTTCAAAGATGAGTAGAGGAAGTCAGCACCCAACAGGTTGAGAATGTAGACAGGGAAGGCATTCTGTTCATTTGAAAGCCCAGAAGTCATGCCACTATGGCATTTCCAAGCAGGCCAACAAGTTCAAAGATGAGTGAAAGCAAAATCATGTCACAAAACATGATTTTACAAAATGATATTGCAGTGTGGTAGGTATCATTTGGTAGTGTGATGTTAGTATCCTAGTCTGGGATGTTTGGAACCAATCTAAAAACCCTCCCCTTTTGTACCTGGAAAGAAAATGAAGATTTGAGCAATGATGTATCCTCTCTGATCCTCAGGACACCATGCTCTGAGTGAATGGTTGACCTGGTATGTAAAGAAGTGAAACATGATGGTAGAGACTGAGTAAATTATGAAAACATATTTCTGGATACTTCCTTTAAATCCAGTTTGTATTTATTTGGGCTATATACAAGCCATGCCCTGCTCCCCAAGAAAAGCCTTAGCCCTGGTGAAGAGTGCCTGAGAGGGTAGGAAGGAAGGGAGATAGAGCTCAGGAGAAGGTATTAAGGGGAAGTGGGGTTGGTATGTAAAATGAAAAAACATTAATTAGAAAAAGGAAAAAATTTTGGTTGTGAGCCTAGCCTTTAATGGCTGAGCCATAGAGGAGAGCAGGATGAGAGATACCATAATCGATCAAGTCATTATAGGCTTGAGGAGAGAGCTGACACTAGTGAGATCTCCAGAGATCTGCAAGGATAACACCAACTGGAAAACTAAGCAATAGTGGAGAGACTACATTAATAGCCCCTTCTTGATGATAAGGTTGATGACTACTTTATATGCCATCCCAGAACCTTTATCCAGTGACTGATGGAAGCAGAGACAGATACCCACAGCTAAACAGTGAACTGAACTCCTGGAACCTAGTGACAGGGATGGAGGAGTGATGAGCAAGGGGGTCAAGACCATGATGGTGAAACTCACAAAGACAGCTGACCAGATAAGGGAGAGCTCTTGAATCCCAGATTGATGGCTAAGAGGCCAACAGGGGACTGATCCAGACTCCATGAATGTAGTCTCAGTGAGGAGGCCACAGAAATCACTGGGGCCTTGGATAGTAGATCAGTGTCTACCATGGTGTGTGAATGGTCTTTGGGAGCCCATTCCAAATAGAGGGATGCTCTCTCAGCCTGGACACATGGGGAAGGGCCTAGGTCCTGCCTTGGATGAAATGACAGACTTTGGAGATTCCCCCCAAGGAGGACCTCACCCTCCCTGGGGAATGATGTGGGGGGTGGGAGAGGGAGCTGGGATTGACAGGTGAAGCATTCATGTTTCTAACTTAAATAAAAACATATATTGAGGGAAAAAAGAAAAAGGAAAAGAAAAATATATGAAAACTATAAAACATATCTGTACCAGGCCTTCTTCCCGCCAGTCAGGACCCAGAGCTGTGTCAACCCCAAATATCACACAGAGACTCTATTAGTTACAATGCTGTTGGCCAATGTACACAACTTCTCTTTGGCTAGTTCTGTCTTAAGTATTAACCCAAGACTACTAACATATATTTCTATAAGGACTTATCTTTCTGAGGACAGCATCCTGACTCATCCTCTCTTCCCTGAGATCACATGGCGACTCTCCACCCTTGACTACATTTCCCAGAATCCTCCTTGATTCCTAGTCCCACCTATCTTGCTTCCATATTGGCCACAGTGCTTTATTTATCAACATATACACAGAAGGACTTCCCCCATCACATATTCTATACTAATATGAGAGTAGCAATAGCCTCATTATAGACACTAAGTGTCTCAGACTGTGTCAGAAAGAAACAGAACCCTGAACCCAATTTTCATCTGTCCTCAGGCTGGTACTTCTCTAATTCAGGAATTTGGAAACCAGAAGCATGATCAACAGCTTTTCTCAGTCCTTGCAAGGGGAGGCTAACAAATGGCAAAATATATGAATCGTGAATGAGAGACATGAAGGAAATGACAACTCTTACTAAAGCCAGTATGAAAAAAAAAACAGAACCTCAGGCTGAAGTTATCCTGTCTCCATTTCAGATTTGAATCTGGAAATGGAAAAGCTTTTGAGGACATTAAGCATTTGTCTGTTGTCTGTTGCTGTATCTCAAGTGTCCAACTTTCCATAGGGACACAGTGAGTAAGGCGGGAATTTTTACTAGATGAATGAATGAGTCATAAACCAAACATAGATGCGAATGCTTTGACAAATATTTTAGAGCATGTTTAGTGCCACGAAATACATACAAAATGAAAAAATATCACTGTTTATCATTCTTTCAGTGGAAAGATCTAGTATGTTTGAAAGAATAGTTTAAAATACAGAGATGGCTAATGATGGACTTTGTCATCCTCCAACCTAAGAATGTACATTATTAGCTGCAATGAGAACCTACAGCAGGGTGTCCTAATCATTTTGGGTCATTTGTAAAAATAAAAATATATGTTGTATATCAGATACATACATTGTGGATCATAACAGTAGCAAAATTATGGTTAGAAAGTAGTAATAAAAATTATTTTATAGCTGGGCGGTGGTGGCGCACGCCTTTAATCCCAGCACTCGGGAGGCAGAGGCAGGCAGATCTCTGTGAGTTCGAGGCTGGGCTAGACCGATAGCCTCCAAAACAATACAGAGAAACCCTGTCTCGAAAAACCAAAAAAAATTATTTTATGGATGGGGCAATACAACATGAGAAACTATACTAAAGGGTCGCATCATTAGGAAATCTGAGAACCTCTGGCCTTGAAGAATTAGGCATAGGATTCTGAACTGAATTGAATTTCTAACACTCTTCAGGGTTAAAATTTTAATATGGGAAAAGACAGAGAGAAGGAAAGAAATATCAACTGTGCTAAATAGTGGGTAATGTGGCACAGGTACATCTGCAGGGTTTGGAGACAAAGACAGTCTCTGGGAGAAGGATAATAGAAACTGCTCAACCAACCATGTTAGCTTACTTGTGGAATCCCAGTACTCTGGGATGAGGAAGGAAGACATCCATGAGTTCAAGGACACTTTGAGTCATATATTGAGTCCAGAAAAGCCTGGGCTGTGGCAGAAAGCAGGCAAGGATAAAAGAGAAAATTATAAGAAATCTGAGACTCACTTTAGAGGCCAAACAAATGAATCCTTCGTGCACAGAAAACTAATTCCATGAAATACAATATGGGTTTTCCTTGATCTACAGGAAGATATAAACCTTCAAACGGAGGAGGTATTACAAATGGACATGGCAAGAAATGAACCCCATACACAACAATTCTAGTGGCAAGTGTCAAGAGTCGATGACACATATAGATGGCTGATGTAAAAGGCTGCAAGGACATGTGCCACTTTTCTTGCAAAACAAAATCTGTAAGAAAAAATAGCAGATTTCTTTGTGGTGATGTATCATTTATGATTTATTAAATCTCACCTGAGGATTTAGAAGGCAAAGTCAGCCAGAAGTCATAGAAAGCAGACAAACACCTTTAATCCCACCAGCCAGCAACTAAGGGGTGGTGGTACACACCTTTACTCCTAGAACTCAGGATTAAGAAATAGATGGATCTCTGCAAGTTCAAGGCTACCCAAATCTACACAAGATTAATCCAGTCCTAAAGAGAAACAGCTCACACAAAGATGATCTCAGCACCTGGAATCACACGCCTTTAATCCCAGCATTAGGGAGGTATATAGGACAGGAGCAAGGTCTCAGTATCAGGCATGCATTCTCCAGCCACATTGAGGTGATGTTCAGTCTCAGGGTTCTCCAGTCACACTGATGGGAGGCAGCAGTTTGAGGCTTGTTGAAGAGCTAGTGGATCAGCCCTTTCAGCCTGAGCTAGAGGTGAGAACTAGTGGCCAGCTGCTTTGCTTTTCTGAATATCAGCTTGAAGTTTGAACCCCAGTATCTGTCTCTGGATCTTTTGTGTTTCACGTTACATTTCTATGAAAACATCTAAACCTAGGAGACAATAGAAAGGTGTGTTCCACATCCTGAGATCAATCAATTGCCAATGAAGCTACACACCCTTCCTAGTATGAAACATTAAGCACATTTGTCTTGTCTGATGCTGTATTAAAAACAAAAGCAAACATGATGAATCTGAAAAAGGGACTAGTAGGGATGGAGGAGGAAGTTGAAATGGGTGAGATAGAGGTAAAAGAGGGGAGAGGAGGGTAATCAGAGTACATTGTATACAGAAATCAAATGATCAAATAACAAAATTAATCAATGAACAAAGTTAGTTGTATGTCTGGGTGAGCACAACTACACCTGCATCTAGAATAACACCCAGATCTTGGTTCAGATGACTATTACTGTTGATACATCTCCACACTCCAAGTGTTCTTCGGTTGGTGTTGGGTTTAAACACCTTGTGTAACTTTCTGTAAATGTGCAGATTACTGCTAAATTACACTCATCTGTGTTCTTTTCAGTCACTTATTTTTTGACCATCTGTTTCCTACTGAGACAGAAAAACAAAGGGATAGAATCTGCATTTTAGGAAACACAGTGACTGAGTTACTGGCAGAACTGTGCTTTTATAGAGGGTGCCTGTACCCATATTGCTTGCCAAGTGAAGGAAAGTGGCAAAATTCTCACAATAACAAGACATTTGAATAGTTGAGATGAGAGCAGAATAAGGGGAAATTACAAGAAGCGGGTACTGCCTTGATTCACGGGATTCTAATCTCCCAAAATTAAGTCAGTCAGCCCACACTGCTAAAGAATGACTTTTGTAGCCCCTGTGTCTTCAGGAGAACCTGATACTCCTTAGATTCCCCACCTCAAGATGCAGTTGTATGGTCCCAGACTAAGAAAGCAGATAAAGACTATGGGAGAAGGGTTTCAAAGGTCTCTTACCTTTCCTCCATTTTTCTTATGGGATGTGGTAAGCTTGTCTGTGGCAAGGTGAAGGGACCCTGGAGTCAGCCATCAGTATGAAACACTTCTGTAACTGGAGAATGATATGAGACCAGTGGTTGAGGAAGGCATTTAATCAAGACAGCACAAGGACTGTGGTTTCCTAGAGTAGGATCTGCTGGCATATGAGCACCAACTCTTTGAGTCATGCTCTTCACGAGACTGTTCTTGACAGTTGGTCTGGCTCTTATCTCTCATCCTCTGGTCATGACAACTGCTATGGTTCCCCTTCCCTGTTAGTTCATGCACTGCATTTATTATGTCTAAAATATTTGAAATTACTTCTATCCCTATGTGTTATTTTAGTAGATTAGTTTTCTAAATATAACTGTTTTGTGTTCTTTGCCCTGTCAGAACTATGTGAACCTTGTAATGCCTTTAGCTGTGGTAATACATTTTCCAGATTTTTGTAAAACAGACATAAAAGAAAATGTGAGTGTACATCATATATGAAAAATGCGAATGGGTAAGACTTGTATAAAAACTTAACAGTACTTGAAAATAATGTCACTTAAGGAAAAAAATCTACCTCCAAGTGTGGAGGTGAATGTCCCTGGAGTAACCTGAAAAGAATCACAGTAAATGTCCTTTTAGATTTTTGGTACTAAATAAATTAAAAGTTTTGTACAGGCATGAATCAAATTTTAGTTAGAAAAAGATTGATCGGTGCTTTTTAAATCATTTTCTTACTTATCCAATTCACTTTTATTAGCTGTGATATAGTACAAGGTCTGACAATGATCAAACTACTCATTGTGGGGACCTATGAAATGAAGCCTTTCATTTTATTTTAATGTGATGCAATTTGAAGTAAACCAGTAGAAACTTATTAGAAATGTGGTATTCATTCTGTGTCTATTAACTGCTGTGACCTATGGAAACTGGGCCTTCCCTACACTGCTTTCAGGATTCTGAAGAAGAGAATGGTCAGTAGTGGGGACAGCTTTAGACCCAAGAGTGGATGAAGCTCAAACAGGGATGTTGTGAAACCCCAATAAGTTGATTAAAGGGACACTATTATGGAAAGGGTTCAAATCCAACTACAGAGCAAGTGTTTACTCAAATACCAGTCATGCCACTATTGTACCAATGGGCACATCTTGCCTGGCAGTTTGGGGTTATATTTCAAAGAGTTCATATCTGGATAAGAAAATCACACCTTATGATTCCTTCAGTGAAAAGTTTTTGTTATATTTAAAGAGCTCCTTCTGTTTGTAGATGTGGTTATGTTTACCAACCAGAGAGATACAATAGATGGTGCTACTGAGAATCAACTATAGTTTGTGAATGTGTTCAGTAGTGAACCATATTTCTGAAACTATTGAGGTGCTTAAAGAAAATGTAGAGAAGGTAATGCAGCTTATTTATGAAGGTGAAGCAGGGCAATGTCAAGGGTAGTGATAAAGTGATAATCCCTAAGGTCTTATAAACCCATCCATTGCTTCCCCTAGGTGCACTGAGTGGGGATTCATTAAGGAAATTGGTGGAAATGAAAAATGAGCCTATTGGTATGCTGAGTTAGTACCAAGATAATTATTAAAAAACAAGAGTTTCCCCCTCCTCTTTCTTCTACATTCCCCCCTTGCCCCATTCTCCCAATTTGTTCATGAACTCTTGTCCCTTTCCCCTTCTCTGGGGGACCATGTATATCTCTCTTAGGGTCATCCTTGTTTCCTAGCTTCTCTGGGGTGTGGTTTTAGGCTGGTAGGATGGTAATCCTTTGCTCTATATCTAATATCCATATATGTGTGAGTACTTACCATGATTGTCTAGGGGGAAGAACATGAGGTATCAGGAAGATTGAATCTGGAGATGGATAGAGAAGAGCAAGAAAAGAGATACCTTTATAGAGGGAGCCATTATAGGTTTAAAGGGAAATCTGGCACTAGGGAAATGTCCAGAGATCCACAAGGATGACCCCAACTAAGAATTTAAGCAATAGTGGAGAGGCTACCTTAAACACCCTTCCTGTTTAATAAGAATGATGACTACCTTAAATGCCATCCTAGAGCCTTCATCCAATAGCTGATGGAATCAGAAGCAGACATCCTCAGCTAAGCACTAAGCCAAACTCCTGGAATCCAGTTGCAGAGAGGGAGGAGTAATGAGCAAAGGGGTCAAGACCATGCTGGGGAAACCACAGAAACAGCTGACCTAAGCAAATGGGAGTTCATGGACCCCAGTTTTTCAGCTGAGGAACCAGCGTAGGCCTGAACCAGGCCTCCTGCATGTGTGTGTCAACTAAGAGGCATGAGAAGTCTGTAGGGCCTCTGGCAGTAGAACCAGCATTTATCCCTAGTGCACCAATGGACTTCCGGAGCCCATTCCCCATGGAGGTATACTGTCTTAGCCTAGATACACAGGGGAGGACCTAGGCCCTGCACCAAATGACTTGACAGACTTTGATGATCCCTCATAGATGGCCTCACCCTCCATGGGGAGTGAATGGGGGATCAGTGAGGTATATGGGAGGATGGAAGGAGATGAAACTTGGATTGATATGTAAAGTAAAATTGTTTCTAATTTAAATAAAATTTATTTAAAAATTAAACAAATGAAACATTTTTTTAAAAGAAACAAGTTTCAACCAGTAAGTGTAATGAGTCATTTAAATGTGCATTTTGGAAGGAGACAAACTCACCCAGAGCACATAATCTGCTCATGCCCCACCTTGCAGCCCCAGCCAGGGGCCTTGGAAGGCCCATTTACCCACAAAAATAACCACCCCTATTGATGGCTGATCGAGGACAGGCTCCCTTCTGATACTTCCACCCCCCTAAGTCAGGAGCTTTGACGGCTGGCAAAGTAATCCAAACGTGTAAGGCCTTTCAGATAGATCCTAAGACAGGCTCCATCACCCCTGTGGTTTTCGGATAACTTACACTCCGGCTGCACCTAATTTCTGTTTAACCAGAAAGGGGGAGATGTCATTCATACAACAAGGATGTCTGTTCCACTATGTTCATAACAGCATTATTTGTAACAGCCAGAACTTGGAAGCAACCTAGATGCCCCTCAACTGAAGAGTGGATAGAGAAAATGTGGTACATTTACACAATGGAGTACTATTCAGCAGAAAAAAAAACAATGGAATCCTGAGATTTTCAGGCAAATGGATGACACTAAAAGAAACCATCCTGAGTGAGGTAACAGTCACAAAAAGAGAAACATGGCATGTACTCTCTCATATATGGATTTTAGACATAGATCTGGGGAGTGCCAGCCTACAATCCCATGGCCAGAGAGTCTGAGAAACAGAAACTTCATTCAGTGGCTGATGGAAGAAGAGGCACACTGCCATGGCTAAGCACTGAGCTGAACTCAAGAAAGCCAGTAACAGAGAGGGAGGACTGATGACCAAAGGGATTAAGACTTGGCTGGTTTAACCCCCAGAAACAGCTGACCAGACAAAGGTTAACTCTTGAATCCCAGGCATCAGCCTGGGAATCCAGCATGGGACTGATCAAGACCCCCTGAGTGGGGGTGTCAGTGAGGAGACCTAGGCAATCTATTGAGCCTTCGGCAGCAGATCAGTGATCCATTTATTAGTTGGGTGGGACCACGGAGATGAGAGAAGTTGCCCCCAGATGTGTCAAGGCCTATCAAATTTCTCTCCTTTAAGTCACTCTTCGTATGTATAAAGACATTACCCCCTCATGTAATTAATTTTAAAACACAAACACATATGCACTCCCATTTTATTGGCTTCCTTCCATTCTCAAGGTAGCTATGGTGGCAGTGAGATCATTCCACAGATGTGACATTACATAAGAAGACACTGTCAAACTTGTAGAAGATAATAAGAAAAGCCAGTTTGTCACTGAGATGGAGAAAGCTCTTGGAAATGTAAACTTTGTGGAGGCTATAGAAAGACATAAAATGCGTGCGTTTTCCCACTAGCAACCCATATTTTCTCTTCACATGCCTCTGCATGCTGGCATAAGATATCACAGTGGGTTCTCAGTCAAAGGGTTTTAGCCAGGCCGATTTCCTATTTTATATAGGTAACAAAAAACACTAACAGTATCCAGGAAGAGAGTAACTTAGTGTTGTATTTATTGTTTTCCTTGCTTTACTTTTGATTATCTCTTTTTTCTTCAGTGACACTGTCTCTGTTTCTGTCTGTTTCTGTGTAACATGAAAAAATGCATGACCCAGAGATTGATATTGGGTTTCAACCTGAAGTTCAGGGAAGCAAAGAAGCGAAGCTACCAGAGAGCTCTTACCTCTAACAGGACTGGGACATTCCTATTCTCTGTGTGGCTGGACGATGAATGCGCCTATCTTCAGTATGACTGGAGAATGAATTCTTCTATCCTCAATGTGAATGCCTGATACTGACTACTTTTGTTTCTATCTTTCATATCCCTCTAGTGCTGGAGTTACAGAGATGTGTTCTGAGTCATGCTCTGGTAGCCCAGGGTGGTCTTTGACTCAGAGATCCATCTGCTTTTCTCCAGAGTCCTGGGATTAACAGTGTGTACCACCACTGCCTAGCTCTATGGACCTGGGATTATAGGTGTGTGGCTGACTTCTATTGCTTGTGTCTGACTTTGCTTTCCGAATCTTCAGGAAACCTTTAATAAATCATAAATATCACTACATCTCTGTCTTGCTGACTGACTCTGATTCTTACTTTCTATCTTCCTCCCCGTGTGTATGTGTGTATATCACTCTGTGTGCGTTAGGCTGTGAACTGATAGGAAGCCCACATAAACTAAGCAATACTCCATTCCCAATGGCCCATTCCAGCAATCATATGTTCCTATAGCCAATTCTGAACTCTTATAACTTCTCCCCATCCCTTCAGTCCTGTGAACAGTAAACCTTCTCTGAGAAAATATATCATATGCTTCTCAACCCTCCATACATCTTAGTAAAGAGTCTTCATTGAAGATATCCCAGTTACCCTTTTATTTTCTGCCTTCTGTTTCTAGGGGTAACCACCGATATGAGGCATATAATGGAAAATAGCTTGTTAACAAGTCTTACGGTGAGCAAGCAGGCAGGTATAGCACTGAAGCAGTAGGGGAC